CTGACACACGATCTGAATGTAGAGGCGCACAACTTAGAAATAAATCCCTAAGTCATAAGTTCTGCTATTTGGCCGGACTCGGAGCTGGGACAATCAGGTTTTAGACGCATTTGGTGCAGCAAAAAATCTGGGACTGCTCATGGACACTGATTCTCGGAGCATATTATTATTAACTGTGTCAAGAGGTCTTTTGTTAACCTCAAACTAATATTTAATCAACGAGCCCTACTTTAATGAGAATCTTGAGAAAGTGCTGTGCGATTCCATTATCTTATTGCACTTTAACTACTGCGCTGTACTGTGCGGACCCTGTCTGCTGGTTTCCGATGCCAGAAGAATTCAACTCATGCAGTATTCGTGTGTCAGGTTGATGGGCCGTATTAAGGGCCGTGACAGGGGTGTGAGTGCCAAGTTATGCGAAATTAAATGGCTAAGAATAAATGGACGGCGCGCACTGCCTAGTTTGGTTCTGTTTACCAAATTAATTTGTAAAAGATGTCCTGACTTAACATGATGATACAGAACATAAAATTAAGTTTCGGTATGATGCCCATAACTTGGAGCTTAGAGATAAATTTACAATAACTCCTCCTATGCATGCTACATCCATATATGAGAGATCATTTAGCTACCAAATATCAAAAATGTACAATCAAATTCCTGCTGATTACAAAACAACCTCCGATTAAAGTTTAAGCAAGCGGCGTATAAAGTAGTATAACATTCATACAGGTATAGGTGCCTAAGGTGATCCTAAATATAAATGTCATAATTTAATTAAAAAATTCTGCACTATTTGGAATAAGGATTGTTTGAAAATAAAATATTGTATTTCATTCGTATTCTTCATGTGACTTGCATGGATTTGGTTCTAACTTCCATGCGCGTCACATAAGTATTACTTATACTCCTAATAAAATAATATCTATTATTCCTATATTTTTCTTTGTACTAGCACCCGTGCTAGTCTAATGACTTGTAATTACCTTATGATTGAAAGTAATAACAATCAACGGTAATACTCTGTATTTCGTTCTGTCATGATTGTACTAAGTATTGTACTCTGGTTGAGATAGAAAGCTGTGCTTCAACTCTTCCATTTGTGATTCCTAAACATTTGCTAACTGTTTTATGTCTGTAACTTGTGAATAAAGCTATTTATTTACGACTGACATATAATGTAATTATTATATTTGTGATTTTGGCAGTATAATGCCATATATTATTCCCGCAGGGATTAATGGTCATTAATCCCGCTTGCACACCAATCACAAAATTTCTCAAATTAAATAAGTAGGAAACAATATACCTGAACAAACTCAAAAGTGTCAGTGTCAAACACGTAGTGCTTGTGTATTTGTATTGAGATGGATGAACAAAGAGCGTTTTTGGAAAGGAAATTTCAAATAAATTAATTTGTCGTAAATAAAGTATAGTATACTACTCGCAATAATGGCTATTTTTCCCTCGGAATGTTACTCCCTCGCCGCTAACGCGGCTCAGTTCGTAAATATTCCTCGGGAATAATAGCTATCATTATTGACTCGTGGTATAATCTACTATTATCATTATTATTATCATTAATAGCCAGATTGGGAAAAAGGAATGGTATGAATTAGTCAGAACTTGTCAACAAATTCTTTTACTTTTTATTTAGTATGTATTTAGTCAAAATTGTGATGGTTGCAAATAAAATAGTATACAAACTTTTCTCGACAGTAATGAAACACTTTCCACCTCGGTATGTAATAAATTAAGTATATCAAGTTTTGTATATCTCAAGATTATGACATGGAGACTTCTTATCCAAATTTAAGAATATCTGATGAGTTGCCAACAGATTATAACCAAATTTGTGTAAAAACTAAGGAAGATGAAATAATATTATCCAAAATCTAGGATTATATTTCAACTGAATGGTTACAACGTGAGCTTGAACTGACCGTTAAAAAGCGATGAAGTTACACAGAATACTATTCTGCAATAGAGAAAAGGTTCTACCAGTGTTGCCAACTCGGTAGAATTTCCACTAGTTCTAGCCCTAGGGGATTTGAAAGTCGTCCAGTGCAATGGTTTTCGCAAATTCCAGTATAGTGGTAATACGGTTTCTAGTGAATTTTTACCTCAATGATTTTTATTGATACTTCGCTTCTATTAGTTTTCGAAACTTCTTTTTAAAATTTTGAAATAACGTATTTGTATAGGATTCCTGTTAATTTACAGAAGGCAGCATATTTTCAAGGATGATACACACCTACAGGATTGCTTATCGGCCTCGTTTTTGGTAATCGCCGTTATATTGGGGTGTCACCATTTCCGACGTCATAACTAAGTCGTCAGCTGTTTAAACAGCCTAATTCGTCAAGGCGAGAAATAACATGCTGCCTACGTCACAACTGGTGATTTGGCAGGGGGGGATTTGTTACACACAGGCTTTATGAGGATAGGCCATCCTGTAGTAGTAGTGTGTATCATCCTTGACATATTTTTTTGTGGGCTTGTCATATCGTAGGATTCGTAGGTAAGTACCTATAGCCGCTTTCCAGCTGACGCTTTTGAGCACGCAATCGAGCTTTTGCGCGCGCAAATGCTTCAAGCGCGTGTTCGTGTTCCAGCCGTACTGCGCTTCGAGAGCTGCTATTTTTTGCGTTTCAAACACAGAATACTGTGCTGCACCGTGCTTGAAGCACACAGCTGGAAAGCGGCTTATGTCAATATTGTCAATGATGCTTTTATGTTAACTGTCAACATTGTCACTTTCAAACTTCAAGACAAGCAAACCCAGCTTTCATGCTTAAACATGCTGCTGCAACATAATCTAAGAAACAAAGAAAAGAAACACAACACAACATGGTAGATGACGTTGAGTATCCATATTTTTTAGAATTATTAAACAACTAGCGGACCCGGCGAACTTCGTAACGCCTCAGAATCAATAAATGTTAAGTTAACGTATTAGCTTAATTAAATTCAGTTTTTTAATAAGATAAAATGATTACTAACAATAAATTATGTGGTTCAATAAATGTTCAAAAATCAAAATGGAATAAACCGCGCAATCTGACGCGGCAAACTTGGTATCGGTTATAAGACATGGCGCCGTATGCATATTTAGTGAATTTTCTTCATAAATATGTTTTTCTTTTTCTTGTGTTTTTTTTTATATGTTCCAATAGTTGTTATGTAATTCGGGCCAGACAAATCCAATTTAACAAAAATCATAAAAATCGGCATAGCAGTTCTCGAGTTATAGGTTCTGCAACCAACCCGGCAGATAGATAGATAATACAGTTACGCCAGTTGAATGCGAAAATTTGAATTTTTAAATTTTTAAATAAAAAAATAATACAGTTACGTCGGTTGAATGCGCAAACTTAAATAAATGTGGCAACGTTGTTTCATATTGTCAAAAAAAGTTGGGTCATGTATGTGAATAAGTTTGTTTATAATTAATTGAAAATTAATTTTGTTTTCCGAGAAAAAATGTAGCCTATACTTACTCCCTTTATATAGTGACTAAGTGGTATAAATTCCAAGGAGATCGGTCCAGTCGTTCTTGTGTTCTAAAAAATAATACAGTTACGTCGCGTCGGTTGAATGCACAAGCTCAAATAAATGTGGCAACGTTGCTTCATGTTCTCAACAAAAAAAGTTGGGTCATGTATATGAATGAGTTTATAATTATTAATTAATTAAAAATATTTTTTTCCGGGATAAAAAGTAGCCTATGTCACTTCCCTTCAGATAGAGACTACGTGGTTTAAATTTCAAGGAGATCGGTCCAGTCGTTCTCGAGTTATAAGTGCTTCCACAAAACATAACTGTGTTTTATATACAGGGTGTCCCAGGGAAAACAGTCCACCCCGATTTATTATATTTGGGAGGAGAATCTGGAAAAACGCTCGGACACGTCGATGTTTGATTTGAGGGGAAACTATTTTTCCGTTTGTTTCATCCCCGTAGCTTCAACCCCCTAGCTAGGGGGAGAACAACCCCCCAAATTTGAATAGGGGATAGGAGTCATGCCAACCCTTTTTTTGAAAGGTCTCATCGAGTTCTCTATGGCCTTAGAATTTCATCTCATTATTTTCATCCGAAACAAAATGACAGCTTGCCAAAATCTTAGAAATAGACTATTCTTTTAGTAGGAGTAAAAGCGGTACTGACGTCCCTTAATAAAAATACCTACAATTTACAATTCTCGTGTACACCTCATCAATAATAATAATAAAAAACTCCAATTTCAAGTATTTTTATTAAGGGAGGTAAGTATCGCTTCTACTCCCACTAAAACAATAGTCCATTTCCAAGATTTTGACAAGCTGTCATTTCGTTACGGATGAAAATAATGAGATGAAATTCTAGGGTCATAAAGAAATCCATAAGACCTTCAAAAAGAGATATGACACGACCCCTATCCCCTATTCAAATTTGAGGAGTTGTGCTCCCCCTAGCTAGAGGGTTGAACCTACGGGGATGAAAAAAAACTGAAAAATACTTCCCCTCAAATCAAAGATCGACGTGTCCGAGCGTTTTTCCAGATTCTCATCCCAAATCCAATAAATCGGGGTGGACTGTTTTCCCTGGGACACCCTGTATATAGACAAAAAGATATTAGGAGTGCTAAAAATTTCAAAAAGGAGTGGGAAAAATGTAGTAGATTTTCCACTAGTTCAAAAATTTTTCGACTGCGGCCCCATTTTTTTCTCCTAGTGGATTTTAGTGGATTTAAATCTCTTTTCTAGTGGACAGTCTTGGTTCAGAGTTAACAACACTGGGTTCTACCGATAAAAAGAATTTTAGAATCGCACATAAAAATATAACCGTAACTGTTTGCTCTATAGTTAATTAGTATAAAAAGTTTTTATTCTTACTAGTTTTCGGGTGCATCTTCTTCAGAACTGCTACTGTCTCTCGCATCTTTCGAAATAATTTTTTGCGGTAATAATAGATATTATCTCTTACACGATTAAAATCGTTCATTGTAAGTTCATCATTACCTTCCTCAGCCAATATTTTCTTTGTCAAGTGGGAAGGGTTTTCAGTGATTTCACTTTTCACTTTTTTCTTGACGAGTTGGTTTAACAGTTGTCTTTTTAGAACACAATCTGGGTCAGGTTCATGGAAATGCTGTTCCCTTTTACCAGTAACGACTCGATGGTCTCTGTCTCCTATCGTCCTCAGATAGGCGGTGCACCTATCCTTAATACACGTCCACTTGGTCTCCCCAGAAACAATTTTTCTACTTTCTTCTCTGTATTTGAACTTATTTTTCACCAATAACGTTCTACCTCGCTGACTGATTGTTTCAATTAGTTCAGAAGATTTATTGGTTGCCATTTTGTTTTGATTTCGATCGCTTTTGCTAACTTTACTGAGACAGTTTAAAAATACAAGGGCAAACCCGGCTCGAAGAAGACGGTGAAATGAACTCTAATGACTTTTGAAAAGCAGGTAGGTACCCATTTTGGCTTTGAATATTTTCGGTGGTCAGTGGCGTATCATTTGCAAGAGGTCTACGCGTGTTTCGGGAGTCGCCTGATTGTCAGTTTTTTGTCTTATAGGAGGAATAGGGGCACATTGATATGAAATAATTATTTTTAAATAAGTGCGCTCAGATATCTTCTAAACCTTTTTTTTGAGCCATTTTGTGTCCTCAATAAAAATTATAATGAACAAATTCTTGGGTTGTAGGACATAAGGATCGTGGAAGAATGAAAACTATCTCATTTCGGCAACGTTTCGACTTGAAGTTAGTTTCAAGCCCCAAAAATAAGACACAGAGAGTTGGCGCCGAATGGCATTACAAAAGTCAATCAAAATTAGGTAAACCAAAATTAACACTCACTCAACAATTTTTTGTTTTTTTGATCCACTCAACATCAGTGCAGTCAGATCAGTTTGAAGAAAAAATAAAGAGAAACTGAGAAGTTGTGTTATTCAGAAAAGTCGCTCAATTATATTACCAGCGTTTGGTTCATGCAATTCAACCCTTAATTGTACCCCTAATAACACAGTAACATCGCAGAAACATTCCAGAAACATCCATCAGGGATAATGAAGACGTCCCTGGGAGGTCCCTATTTTCCTGGGGACATCCCTGGGATGTTGCAGGCAACAGCCGTGTCATCATTTGCGATGTCCTATAAACATCTCTCAGGGATGTTTCTAAGATGACGCGGGATGTACCTAATACATCCGGGGCAGGTGTAAGAAACATCCTCTATATGTTTCTAGTATGACTTTAATAGGTGAATGAATTTTAGGATTATGGATTAAAAATTACCTAATTCAATAATTTTCAATTTTCGTTCTATTTTCTGGAAGTCAGAACTTTTTCCAAAAAAAAAACAAAAATTGAAAATTATAAAATTAAGTAGGCACATCAGTTTCCAATAACATTTTTTATTGAAAAAATAAGGTACATGTATACTTATATTGATTATCTATCAACTAATAATAATCGACGGACAATTTTGCCTAAATAATGTAGTATTTATGCCCCGTCATGTCATCGAAAACCATAGTTTGGCAGTGGCAGCATGTTGTAGTAGGGGAGTTCGGCGTTTTCTTTTTTTGTTGGTGCTCCAATTTCATAAAGGTACCATTATCTAACCAAAACAACCACAGAACCAAAATCCAAAGTTCTTGAAGTACAATTCAACTTGCACACCTAGAATGTAATCAACTATGAAAACAAAAAATAATTATTGGTTATTTTCTCTTACCTAATGAAGAATGAAGTTCGGGTTTCTAGGGGCTATTTATCAGAAAAGTTAGAAATTTCCTAACCGACGCCATATTGAAATTAAATAAACTAAGCAATTGATAGTTATGCGACGTTATCTTTCAACAAATAATCTTTCTCACCAACTAATAAGCACTGGTAGGTCGCAGAGATCCTTTCGAACACAAAATGGCACAACTAGGTGTAGCGAAAAACCACAAATTGACAAATCCTCCACACAGCACGACGCCATTACGAAATAAAATTCCGCCCAACAACACAAGCGTAGCGCACAGGACGACCCGTTCGACTGATTCTGCCCGTCTGCGCTGGCTGCGGCGCCGACCCGACGTGGTGGCGTGCCCTCCTGTCCTGACCGGTACAAGTACAAATGCCTGAGCACGCGCCTGCGCCATACACTTCGGCTTCACGAATATTCACGATGTTTGAAAGTTGAAAAGAGAGAAGACTTTTATCAATACATATTTTATTTTATTCCAAGTTGTAAGTCGAATGAAAAATTAAATATTGCTGTTGTTACAATACAAAATTAATATTAAGTTCCTTATTATCTATATACATTACAGGTATATTATGGAATTTGAAATTAGTTTGTGTGTGTGATAGAGACATTTTCAGAAATCACACAAAATTGGCAAATTTAATACTGGGTCCTACCGGTCTGAGGTCCTACCTAGTTTTGTAAAATAATGTTAGCCATTTTTTAGCTGTAATAAGTATCTAATTTTGAGAACAAAAAATCTTTTTGTCGATAGATATTTACGATAGGATGTTTCTAAAACATTTCAGGACAATCATCCTAGAGATGTTACATTACAAACATCGCAGCGATGTACCATTTATGTCGGAAACATAAGGACCTTAATGGTACATAAATAGGATGTTTCTGGGAGATCGGTGTTATTAGGGACTGGATATTGGATTTTAAATTTAAATCAGACAAATGTCATATAAATATGAATAAGGAACCGCTGGTAAAGTCAGGTTAGGTATTTTATCATCAGTAGCTTCGTTCGAAGACTGTGTTTTGAGTAGAGTGGTCCCAGAAAACATTTTTCAGGAACCAGATATCTTATCAATATTAAAAACAAATTAAATACAAAAAAAATTAAATACAAAAAACGCAAAAGTAAAAAATTAAACATTACCAAATTACAAAACCACACATTAAAATTAAGTCAAAACCAATGAACACCAAAGTCAGAAGTCAACAATAACATTTGTAAGGACTACAAATTAACATCAATGTAAGATACCTGGTAATTCTGCCTGTATGATTTCAATAAGTTACTGTATACACTACAATTATTAGATTGTGTCGATCTCAATTTGATATTATTTTTGTTGATTAACGCAAGAACTTAACAAACAATTGATCTAGACCCCACTCCCCCTAATACGTGTGTTCATAATTATTATAAAAAAATATTGAATGAGGGTAATGAAAATAATAATTTACCCACAACTCTCACTGAAGTACGCCGCTGACCACGCCAAAAACGCTTACCCACTCTAACAACAAACCTAAGTAAATTGATGCAGCACGTGCAATGATGGTCGCTGACTGACGCTGACTGAACGAAATATGAAATGAGAGCGGCAGGCGGCAGCGGCATCGGCGGAATCGTGTATAGCGTAGATTCGATCGATTATGCCGCCACCTAGCGATTCCCCGGATCCCGAAACGTTTTCACAATGGGAAGATTTATTGATTTTTTTTTCAAATTCTAGAGCACAAATTAAGTATATTAACACTATTTTGGGGAATATTTGAGCTGTGGTTAATTTTTTATGAAAAATATAAATTACTATTTTTGAGGCAGTATTTTCAACGCCGAAATACCCGCCGAATCTTCATTCGCTACAACATGCAATAATATACTGCAAATTAGTAAATTTTGTAACGTTGTCAGATTGTCGTTGCCATTGTTTATTTCCAAGATTATACCTCTAAATACCTGGTTTTATCCTTGAAAATATAATATTCTTCTGTTGTATTTTTTGCGCTACAATAATTATAACATTAATGTAGTTGTTGTTTTTTACCTATACCTACTAGCTATACTGTACCTACATACGTGTATTTTGTGCTCTGCGGAAAATCCACTACAAAACATAGTTAAAGTGCAAATAAAAAAATTAATCTCGAAGTACCTAAACACAATAAGAAAAAACCGTGGCGACCGGTATAAAATTGATAAGAAGCTCGACCCATATACTTTTTATGCAGTCTATAAATAGAACAAAATAGGTAAATAATAGTTAATTTATACACCAAGTGAGTTAAATGAATTTTTATTCATGAGAAGAAAGTTTAACCCACGAGCCCTAGCGAGTGGGTTAATTTTCTTCGAATGAATAAACATTTTAACTCACGTGATGTATACAAAATTTTATCCCATTTTGTGGAAATTCAAAAAATAAAGCACAAGGAAAAATGCCGGGAGTGAGTTAAAAATATTTTAAATCACTGAGGTGTCAGATGTTTAGTTAGGCAGAGTGACTTAAAATGCCGAGAGTGAGTTAAATGTTTTTAAATCACTGAGGTGATAAACGTCTACTTACCTTTATTGTTATGCGTTTAATAATGTCATTTTTAAACGTCAAAATGGGATAAAAATAATTTAATATATCAGTAAGTGAATCAGATCAAGATGAACCTTTTCTTAATGAGGAGAATATTGACTTGGAGTTTGGAGCACTACTGTACCTATTGTAAAATGGAGTTTCAGGAAACTGATAAAGGATAGCTACTTGTGCGACATATACTACCTACTCAAAACGAAATAAGGACCAGTTTTGAGAGCACCTTGGTTTTTATTAAATTTTGAATAACCCTGGTAAAGTGAGTATTTTCATTTACAATATAGATAAACAAATAAAATGTGCACAAAAAATTTATATTGTTATTGGAAATAAACACTTTTTTCTGCGATTGACAAGAAATGTCAGCATTTTTGACTGGTTGGCAGGTCGCAAAACTCAATATTCTGGTATTTCAATTATGTTTCAATAGTTGCTAAGGAATCAATGAATAACAATACGGGAAACACTTTTCCGGCCTAGGCCGGGAAAGTGATTCTCGTATTGCTGAATAATTGGAACTAAAAGACAAACATATAACAGGTATTTAACCAATCGCAGAAAAAATAGTATGTGTATTTCGGTGGAAAAGCACATTCTCGGCCTTCGGTGTTTGCCGGCCTCGGCTACGCCTCGCCCGTCAACTTACACCGTCGGCCGAGAATGTGTCACTTTTCCACCTAAATACACAATATACTATACCAGGGTTATTCAAAATTCAATAAAAATAAAGGTGTTTTAAAAAGTGGTCCTTATTTCATTTTGACTAGTTTATGTCTGCGTAAAATAAAAATAGGCTCGCTCAAGTTGGCCCCCCACATTTGATTTTATACTGTTTCTGAATTGTAGTCAATTGTGCTCGTTTTGTGCTCAACTGTGCCGGTGTTTATGCGAATTGTGCTCATTCTCATGAATTCCATGTATCAAAAAAAATCGAAGCAAACCTGGGGGCCAGTTTGACTCCAGCCCCCGGTTTTTTTTACTTTTTGGCAATATTATTGGCTCATTG